ATGTAGAGACATCCGGGGCAGGACTACTGAGCCTTGCCCAACTCTTCCCCCGTCCCCTCCATGTGTCTTGGATGTGACCTGTGTGTTGGCCAGAATCACCACCCACGTCCACTAGAGCACCTGCCGTGGTCACGTACTGGCAATGGCAATGCATCCTGTGGCCTATGGCATGCCAAGTGGCATCCCCATGAGCAAGACATAGGGGCCCCACTTCTCAGGCTTGACCCTGGAAGCACAGCAGATACAAAGGCGGGAGCAGACTCAAAGCTGTTTTCACAGTTGGGGTCAGCACAATAGCACCAAACACGTCTCACCCTAAAGCCTGACGTCTTAATTCACAAAGTCAACTGCAAAACGGCAAGACAAAGGAGATCCAGTGGGAGTCAGTTCATGAGAGACAAAAAGAAGTCCAGGATGGGGAGATTAATATGTTTAATCTGGCTACTTAAAATATAGAAATAGTATCAAGTTGGGTAACATTGATGAAGCCAGAGTCCCTATTTTAAAAAAGAAAATCACATTCAAATTTCTTTTTTTTTTTTTTTTTTTGGTTTTGGCTCTTTTTTTTTTTTTAATCTTAATAGACTTGATTCTTTTTTTTTTTTTGGTGGAGGCGGGGGCTGGGGGTACTGAGTCTCACTCTGTTCCTCAGGCTGGCAGGCTGGAGTGCAGTGGTGCGATCTCAGCTCATTGCAACCTCTGCCTCCCCGGTTCAAACAGTTCTCTCGCCTCAGCCTCCCAAGTATCTGGGACCACAGGTGCACACCACCACGCTGGACTACTTTTGTATTTTAGTAGAGATGGGGTTTTACCATACTGGCCAGGCTGATCTTGAACTCCTGACCTCAGGTGATCCACCCACCTTGGCCTCCCAAAGTGCTGGGATTGCAGGTGTGAGTCACTGCGCCCGGCCTAGACTTGATTCTATGGAGTACTTTTAGGTTCACATCAAAATTGAGAGGAAGGTACAGAGAGATTTCTCATAAACTGCCTGCTGCAGGCACGCATGGTCTGCCCCGCCAGATGCTACATTCGTTACAGCTGATGGACCTACCCTGACACATCACTACATCATTATCACCCACTTAGGTTCATCTTAGGCTTCATTCTCAGTGTTGCATATTTTGTGGGTTTGGACAAATTGATGACATGTTTCCACCATTATAGCATCATACAAAGCAGTTTTGCTACCCTAAAAATTCTCTGTGCTGCAACCAGTTTCCTTTTTTTAAAAAAAAAAAGGAAAAGGACCAGTTTATTTTGTGATCGTGAGCAAAGAATCACAGCTACCAATCTCCTATTGTGTGCCTCTTCTTCCCAGGTACAGACATTTTTTTCCTTTGGGAGAGATGTGGCTTATTCTAGATTCAGGGGTAATGGTCATGCCTGGATCATGGCCTTCGTCATTCTCATCTTGGGGAGAGCTTTGGGTCCTATGAAGGCCCAGAAGTCTAGTGAACCTGGTTGACACTCAGTAAATGTCTGCCCCACTGTATCTCCTTCCAAGAGCACCTTCTGGTGTTCTTCTATTTTCTTGACCATAGCCCCCAGCAGGCATAAGATCTGTGTCCTAGGGTCAATATTTCTACAGTGATGACTCTAGAAACCAGTCTGTTCTGAAAGCTTTCACCATTTCTCGGGAGTAATGAGAGAAATAAACTTAGGTTTTTATTCATTTTAAAGATGTCTCCTTTATTTGAGACTATGTCTCTTCTATATTTTTAGTGTTAAGATGTATTCTGGTGGAGCTGTATGGTTGGGCCGGGCACAGTGGCTCATGCCTGTAAATGCCAACACTTTGGGAGGCCGAGATAGGTGAATCATCTGAGGTTAGGAGTTTGAGACCAGCCTGACCAACATGGTGAAACCTGTCTCTACTAAAAATACAAAAATTAGCCGGGCGTGGTGGCGCATGCCTGTAAGCCCGACTACTCAGGAGGCTAAGGCAGGAGAATAGCTTGAACCTGGGAGGTGGAGGTTGCAGTGAGCCGAGATCGTGCCATTGCGCTCCAGCCTGGGTGCTGGGTGACAAGAGCAAAACTCCACCTCAAAAAAAAAAAAAAGAAGAAGAAGAAGAAGACAGTGGCTAAGTTTTTAGTGTGTGTGTGCTTATTGTCCCTATTCATCATGTTCATTCTTGCTGCTTCCAGGCCACATCTGGGCCGTGTTGTCCACTGTAAGAAAAGTAGTGACTGAGTAGAAAATGAATGGGAGGGATTGAACATCTGCCACACAAACTCTTTTGGCCAAAAGAAGAGAAAACTTAAAGGGGAACAAAAGAGCTATCTTCACATGTTTAAGAAGGTCTCTGGGTTACTCCAAAGACCAGAACTAGGAGAAATGAACTAGGAGAAATATGTAGAATTTAGCTCAGTTCTCTTCATGTTGAGTAGTGGCTGGGTGCTGAGATGAAACTCATGGCCACCCTGCAGGAGTTCTCCATCTCTTACCGAGGAGACAGTGACAACAATGATAGCTAAGAGTTACATTTACATGGGCTTCCGTGTGCCAGACACTGTTGTAAGCAGTTTATGGACAATGTGCCACTTGTCCTCACAACTGTACCCCAAGGGAGTCACTGTGGCTCCCATCCCTGCCATGCGAGCCATGGATCCAAGAAGGGCTTCACTGGAGTTAGGCCCCAGAAGCCTGAGGACAGAGTCATGAGTCTGCCAACGGGATTAGGACTTAGCTCCAGAGGAGGTGCCCTGAAACAAGGAGGGACAGTTTGGGATGGAGGGGAGGAGCCCGGGTAGCTCTGTCTTCTCAGCACCAGAGATGCCAGCACCACCCCAGTTGGTTCAAACCAGCACCATCCTCACCGGAACTGCTGCAGGAGCCGCCTCTGGTCTCCCTGCCGCTGCTTCTGCCCACTATAAACTGGTATCCATACCGAGCCAGTGGCCCTCTCAGAGCCAAAAGGAACATGTCACTCCTCTCTCAAAACCCTGCAGGACTCTATCTTATTTGAACAACAGCCACCTGGGCCAGCCAGGCCCTAGGAATCTCACCCTTCTGCCTCCCAAATCCCATCCTTTTTCCTCACTCTCCCCTTCCTCACTCCGCCTCCACCCCACCAGCGTGCCCCTCCACCATGGCCTTTGCACCACTGTGACCTCTGCCTTGGAAGCCTTTACCCGTGTAGCCATAGGGCTCACTTCCTCCCAGGCTCTGCTCAGATGTCCACTTCCCAATGAGGCCTTCCCTGCATCCTGCTATAAGAGAGCAGTCACCCCCACCTACTCCCTGTTCTGCTCACACTGCTTGACTTGTCTCTAAAGCACTTGTGACTGTGTGTTACGGTCTCTAATCTCATCTAGTACATTTGTTATATATGCTGTGGTGATATATGTGGTTCACTGGGCATATATGGTTGAGAATGTAAGCTTCAGAGGGCAGGGACTTTGTTTCACTCACTGCCTCCTCATCAGAACCTAGAAGGTGCCTGGCACGTGGGAGGCCCTCAGTAAATCTGCAGCGCCTGGATGGTCAAATGAGCCACTCAGCTGGGACTGGAAAGTGAGAGACAGCTGGCACCATCCAGTACCCATTCAAAGGATCCTTCCAGTGGGCAAAAGCTGTAGACATTGCTCAACAGTGGGATGGCCTGGCATGGCATGATCGGACTTGGTTTGGGGCAGGACTCAGGGCTGTTTTTGACTAATGAGGAGGAACTGAGTGGCTGTGAGACCTGGCGGTGCGCAGGTCAAGCTGCTTTGTCAGGTGGTGAACTCTTGGGAGCAAGGAGTTTATGAGGCAGGACAAGAAAGGGCAAAGCCAGTTGGCTCATCCAGAAACCAAGCAGGGGAGATCCCTCAGTGTTCCCCAGAGGGCACTGGAAAGCCTATGTGTGTGCTGAGGAAGCATGATTCCCAAGCTGCTAGCTGCTTTCCAGCGACCTGAGGCCAACAGACACCTGCTGCATTGGATCATCAGGCTGTCGCGCAGGGAGCTGAAGTTTCATGTTTTATTTTTTGTTTTTATTTTTTGGGGGGACAGAGTCTTGCTCTGTCACCCAGGCTGGAGTGCAGTGGTGTGATCTCAGCTCACTGCAGCCTCCACCCGCTGGGTTCAAGCGATTCTCCTGCCTCAGCCTCCTGAGTAGCTGGGATTACAGGCATGCGACACCATACCTGGATAATTTTTTGTATTTTTAGTAGAGATGGGTTTTCACCATGTTGGCCAGGCTGGTCTCGAACTCCTGACCTCAAGTGATCCACCTGCCTCAACCTTCCAAAACGTTTGGATTACAGGCATGAGCTACTGCCCGGCCTGAGTTGAAGTTTTAGAAGAACACTTTCAGATGCCAAACTCAACAGCCTCTGTCTTCCCACAGCCCACAGCTTGCCACTCTCAAGCATCACAGCCATCCCTGGAGGCTCTGGAAAGCAGGGAGGGCCTAGTTCTGGTTAATCAAGCTGGGACTGGTGTGGGGTGGGGGGTTCTTTGTCAATGGCTGTATCAATCCCCTATTGCCGCAGTGACAAACAACTCCAACATCTCAGTCACTGACAGAAGTGCAGGTGGTAGTGGGGCAGGCTGTCTGTAGGGGCATTCCCTGTACTGGGACTGTTCTCCCAGCAGAGGGTAAGAAGCAAAGAGAATCAGAGCCAAACCGCATAACCATGTTCAGAGCTTCTGCCGGGACGTGGCCAGCATCCTGTTCACTCACACCCTGTCAAAAGAAGCAGGTCCTGTGACAACAGGCAGATATGTAATTCCCTAGATGGAGGCCGTGACCAGATAATTCCGTCTGCCGTAGGGGTGTTGATTGCAGAAAGATGTCTGTGCTGAGGAGACCATCCAGCCAGAGGACCACTCAAGCCACTCCCTCTGTGCCGATACTCTGAATTATGTCCAAGGTTGACTGAAAAGCTTCCTGAGTCTTCCTCCCTCTTTCCCACCACAGGGCAACAATTCCAGGATCCGGCTGGAATGCCTTCCGGAGAGGCTGGCCTTTCACCCGAGTCATTCTCTCTCTCTTTCCTCCTGTCTGGCAGGTGGGTAGCAGGTCCGTGGAGCCCCTGCTCGGCGACCTGTGAGAAAGGCTTCCAGCACCGGGAGGTGACCTGCGTGTACCAGCTGCAGAACGGCACACACATCGCTACGCGGCCCCTCTACTGCCCGGGTCCCCGGCCGGCGGCAGTGCAGAGCTGTGAAGGCCAGGACTGCCTGTCCATCTGGGAGGCATCTGAGTGGTCACAGGTGGGTGCCTGGGCTTGCCGCCAGGTCTCAGCCACAGGGACTCCAACATGGTGCCACGGTATTGGTGACATTCCGGTGCCTCCCAGCCCTCGCTTGCCCCCAGGTCAGCTCGAAGTTGTGTTATAGCTCATGTGTTCTTAATTTCCATCTCAGATAACAGCGTGGCTACAAAAACACAGATACCATGTCTCTCATGATGTACATGTTGACACCACAGTGAAGGACTATTTGATCCCATTTCCTATGAAAATTCCCACATCAAGATAGGACAGACAGATACTGACCGACTTTTTAATTCTCCTTTGAGTGTATTTAACTGTGGTGTGCTCAGGCTGGGAAGGTGGTTTCAAAGGTTTTCCTTTAATCCCCCAGCAGTCTTTGTAGATTACAAGAGTCAGATGCCAGGAGGGACAGCTTTTAGTGTGCAAGTTGGAGTTACAAATCTCATGCCATAAAATGTTTTGGAAAGAAGTGGATTAAGCCTTAAGTCTTAACTTTGAAGGTTGGTCCTGGGAGTACGATTTTATCTTTGGTGATGTCATCCTTCAGGGCTTTGCATTGACTTTGCATTAATGATTTTGATTGTTTGGCTATAAAACTACAAAAAAAAAAAAAAAAAAAAAAAAATAGCTGAATAAAGGGCAGGCTTCCCTCAGGTCTTCTACCAGAGTAGTCTAGGAAACTCAGAGAGGCTCATCCAAGACGCTCTTTAGTGTGGAAAATATTTTTAAAGTTCCCTCTATTGCCAAACAGTTGGAATTATTTTGAATAACAAAGTATTCAGCCCATTTTTAATGAACGAGAAGTCTGCCATTGGCTGCTCTAAAACAAAGGTTAATTTTCAAACAGATCGTGGCATGTATTTGTTTATAGATCAGAGTCTTTATCCTCATTTTATGATATTTTAGGAAAGGAAGAGAGTTTGAGATTTTGTTGTTTGATTGTTTTTTTTTCTTTATATATGCTGATGTTTGTCAGTTTAACATTAGAGGGACTTTTTTTCGGCCCGTTGCTGGCAGGGTTGAGGCAGGTATTCTGCCCCCTCCCCTTTCCAGTACCCTAGGTGAGCCTTTGAGTTTTAATTGCCTCGCTCTTGATCCAAGTAAGATTTGTGCTTTGATCAGATCAAAACTATAAATTTTCCACTCAGTGGTGAAACCCTGTCTCTACTAAATACAAAAAAGTAGCCAAGCATGGTGGCACACTCCTGTAATCCCACCTACTTGGGAGGTTGAGGCAGGAGAATCACTTGAACCCGGGAGGCAGAGGTTGCAGTGAGCCAAGATTGCTCCATTGCACTCCAGCCTGGGCAACAAGAACGAAACTCTGTCTCAAAAAAAAAAAAAAAAAAAAAAAAAAAAAAAAAAAAAACTCAGACTCTTTTTATGGGGGGAAAAAAATGCCTCCCCACCAAGCCTGACATCATCAATTATCATTACAGCACTGAAGATCTCTGCATTTGGAAAATGTAAGACAGTGGGAGCAAGATTTAAATAAATTTCTCTGTGTCTGTATCTATGTGCACACCTAATCCTAATCCCGAACGAGCATCACACCAGTCAGCCTAACTCTGGTTTAGCCCAGGCTTGAGCAAAACGCTTTCATCTGAACATTTAACTTGGAATCAAATCATTCCCCACGGGAGGCTCGCGAAGCTGGTACTTCTGCCGCTTCCCAAGTACTGAAGTCCCAAAGTGAGTCTGTCTTCTGCTGGAAGCAAATGGGTTTCAGTTCCTTGAGGGAGAGTTTTTGTTGACGTGGTCACTTTTATCCAACCAGCTGTGTTGATTGCTCTCACTACCTACCCCCCAGCTTCTTCCCGACTTTATTAGAAGAAGGATCAGATATCCAGAGGGAAGGAAAAGGTAGTGAATTTCTCCTGTCCTCAGCTTGCAGGCCCCGCCCGTGATGGAAAGCAGAGAGACTGAAGGGCACCCTCCTAGGCCCCTTTGGAGCTGGAGCTGACCTCAGCAGCCTGCGGCACCGCTCAGACAAAGGCTTCAGAAAGAAAATAGGTTGCTGGTCAGAGTTTAGTTAAGGGTCAGGGTTTGATTAAGAAATAGGCTGGATGTTCAGAGCTTGAAATTCAAGGGGAAGGGGCGAGGAATGCAAAGTAAAGACCAGGCAACAGTGAACTTAGGCAGAAATGGTGCATGGGCTCCTGGTTGCAGAGGAGTAAGTTGTGTGGGTGCTGGTGCCAGGGGTAGCCCACAAGTCACACAGTGAGGACAGAGTTGCTGAAATGGTCAGGAAACCTTGCCACACAGAGAAGCAAGGGGTAGCCCTCCAGTACAGTGCCCCGGGGCTCCTGCCCCTGCTCCTGCATGCAAAGCCCACCATGGACTGACCCCTGGCATCTGAGGACCCTTTAAACCAGCTCCACACTCCACACACAGCAACTCTCTCCACTCCCTAAGGGGACATTGCAGCCAGTTCTGAAGCATGTGTATTTCAAACCAGCCTAAATTAGCCTTGAAAGAAAACCTCATAGGATCTTTAGACAAAGAGCTTAATTGAATTCATAAGAAAGAGAGGCTGGGCGTGGTGGCTCACACCTGTAATCCCAGCACTTTGGGAGGCCAAGGCGGGTGGATCATGAGGTCAGGAGATCGAGACCATCCTGGCTAACATGGTGAAATCCCATCTCTACTAAAAATACAAAAATCAGCCAGGCGTGGTGGCATGCACCTGTAGTCCCAGCTACTCAGGAGGCTGAGGCAGGAGAATTACTTGAACCCAGGAGCTTGCAGTGAGCCAAGATTGCACCACTGCACTCCAGCCTGAGTTGTCGACAGAGCGAGACTCTATCTCAAAAAAAAAAAAAAAAAGAGAAAGCTAGATCATATTTTGGGATAAATGTTAATAAAAAATATCAGGATTAACATTTATCCTTTATGTACCTTTTTTTCCAGTGGACACAGTGGGATTTTTTTTTTTTTCTTTAGAGATGGGGGTCTCTGTTGCCCAGGCTGGTCTTGAACTCCTGGCCTCAAGTGAGCCTCCCACCTCAGCCTCCCAAAGTGCTGGAATTATGAGTGTGAACTACTGAATTTGGCCTAGAACTTTTTAAAGTTGAGTTTGTTATAACTCAAGAAAGTCACTGCTGTAGCCTGCCATGTTTTTGGTAAAGTGAGCAGGTATGAGACCGCCTTAGCAGAATCCAGCCTTCTGCACACCATCTTTCCAAGTTATGTGTTTACGCCTGTGTCAGGGACAGGGCTCCCAGGGCCAACTTGTTTGTGAGTTTTGTCCTCCCGAGGCTATGGGTCAGCTCTGCCTGGGCTTCCTTCTGCTTTGCTTTTGGAGATGGTAAGTGCTCTTGCCAGCCCAGGTACCGTCCCTCCCCAAGATCTGTGGTGGGCATGTCAGGAACAGGCTCCAGATGCACCCCAGAGCACCCATCTGCTGTGCTGACACCCTGTCACGCCCTCTGTCTCTTCACACCTTCTTGCTGCTGGGAATCCTGAACTCTGGAGGGCGTGCACATCATTCATCACCCACAGGCCCTGCCCAGGTCCCCTCCCCACTGCCCCTTGCCAGGTCTCCCGCAAGTAAGTAAACTACCACAGGGGACATGCCTCTGTGACCATTCTTGGTGTCTGCGTTAAAACATTCACTGGAGCTCTCTGCGAAGGCTTTCCACCTGCCTCACAAGAAAGTCACCTGCGGCTTTTCCTCTTTCTGCCTCCTCCTCATCCTGGCTGGATCGAGGTCTTTGTCCCAGGCTGGCCCAAGCAAAGCACGTGCACCTGGAGGCCATCTGGGAAGGTCTGGAGCCTGGGACTCAGCTTCAGGGCCTCACCTTGCTCCAACTGGCCCCTGTTCCCTGCAGCACTCATGGCTCCATCACACACCTGCCGTTTGAGCTCATGTATTGCCTTAAGCTTTTGGACCTGACAAGTGGCCACTGAATTCCACTCCCCTCATGTGACCTTACGAGTACCCCAGGTTCTTCCCACTCCTGATTCCTGGGTCCCTTCCCCAACACTGGCCACTTGGCTGGGGCCCCAGCTGGGACCATGTGCATAAGACCCTGTAGCCCGTGAGCTTTTTGAGGACAGAAGTGTGGGTTTTCGTCTTTGCATCATCCTACACCTGGCACCTCGGAGGGAGTTAATAGCTGCTGATGAACTTGAATCAAATTGGAACTGGATTAAATATTCGAATCGTGTCTTGCAGTGTTCTGCCAACTGTGGAAAAGGGGTGCGGAAACGGACTGTGGCGTGCACCAACTCACAAGGGAAATGCGATGCATCCACCAGGCCGAGAGCCGAGGAGGCCTGCGAGGACTACTCAGGCTGCTATGAGTGGAAAACCGGGGACTGGTCTACGGTGAGAGCAGCCTGCTGGCATTTCTTTCTGTGCCCCAGTGCAGGGGACTCGAGGGTCGGGAGCTCAGCTCTTGTGATGGGTCCCAATTCCACACGGCAGTCCCAGCGTAACTAGGCACATTCACTTTCCTTCCACCCGCTGCCACTACCCAAGACCCCATGTGCTTCCTCCCCTGCTTCTCCCACAGGCCGCACCAGCACTGCCCCTTGGGGCTCACTGGGAGAACCCCACTGCTTCACATGCATGCAGAAGGAACCCAAACGCAGCCCAAGGCAGGATGCCCATGCCCTGGATGCCAGGCTTGCCATGCTGTGCAGTGGGCCGGCAGGCCCCAGCCTCCTGCCATGGGGACACTTGGGGCAAATATCACTTCCATTCACTCCTAGGACCCCTGGGCAAGGGCCTGGAGATGCAGGGACAGACAGGGCAGGGGGCCTTGAGGTGGGAGCAGGGAGGGGTATCACAGAGCTGTGGGGTCAGCACTCTGAAGACCAAGGGTGAATAAAGGGCCATTGAATGTTTCTCCAAGTAAAAAAATGATTTGTTGTTTAACCCCTCTTTTTTCATTCATCTGATACATTTGAATGATTCCTGTTTTCTGGGGACCAAGGTGAGCACCACTGCCCACCTGTAAGAACCTTCTAGTGGGTTTTCTTGAGTCTTTTCACAAAATCTGTACTACGCCTCCTGTAAGCATAGACCATGTTTGTCTTTCTGTATGGTCTTAGCAACTGAAAAACTCCTGCTTGCTTCTCCTGATATCTCTTCACTCAAAAATTGCAAACTGCTGACCTAGAGCCATTGGTTTTTGCTCAGCCTACACAGTATCTTAAACATGTTGGAATTAATGGCTAGCATTTTTTTCCAACATTTTAATGCATATTCTAATCACATGATTGACTGCCAATATGTTCCTTGTGTGAAAAAAATGTTTACTTGAGCTGAATGTTCATTATCTTCACTTTAGACAGTTTTTTTTTTATTATTCTTTAAGTTCTGAGGTACATGGGAGAATGTGCAGGTTTGTTACATAAGTATACATGTGCCATGGTGGTTTGCTGCACCCATCAACCCACCATCTAGGTTTTAAGTCCCGCATGCATTAGGTATTTGTCCTAATGTTCTCCTTTCCCTAGTCCCCCGCCCCGCAACAGGCCCTGGTGTGTGATGTTCCCCTCCCTGTGTCCACGTTTTCCCATTGTTCGACTCCCACTTATGAGTGAGAACATGCAGTGTTTGATTTTCTATTCCTGTGTTAGTTTGCTGAGGATGATGGTTTCCAGCTTCATCCATGTCCCTGCAAAGGACATGAACTAATTCTTTTGTGTGGCTACATAGTATTCCATGGTATATGTGTGCCAGCCACATTTTCTTTACCCAGTGTATCATTGATGGGCATTTGGGTTGATTCCAAGGTCTTTGCTATTGTGAACAGTCCCACAGTAAACATATATGTGCACGTGTCTTTATAGTAGAATGATTTATAATCCTTTGGGGATATACCCAGTAAAGGGATTGCTGGGTCAAATGGTATTTCTGGTTCTAGATCCTTAAGGAATCACCACACTGTCTTCCACAATGGTTGAACTAATTTACAGTCCCACCAACAGTGTAAAAGCATTCCTGTATTCTCCACATCCTCTCCAGCATGTTGTTTTCTGATTTTATGATGATCACCTTTCTAACTGGCGTGAGATGATATCTCATTGTGGTTTTGATTTGCATTTCTCTAATGACCAGTGATGATGAGCTTTTTTTTCATGTTTATTGGCTGCATAAATGTCTTCTTTTGAGAAGTGTCTGTTCATATCCTTCGCCTACTTTTTGATGGGGTTGTTTGTTTTTTTCTTGTAAATTTGTTTAAGGTTCTTTGTAGATTCTAGATATTAGCCCTTTGTCATATGGATAGATTGCAAATTTTTTTCCCATTCTGTAGGTTACCTGTTCACTCTGATGCTAGTTTTGTTTTGCTGTGCAGAAGTTCTTTAGTTTAATTAGATCCCATTTGTCAATTTTGGTTTTTGTTGTCATTGCTTTTGGTGTTTAATCATGAAGTCTTTGCCCATGCCTATGTCCTGAGTGGCATTGCCTAAGTTTTCTTCCAGGATTTTTATGATTTTAGGTCTTAGGTTTAAGTCTTTAATCCATCTTGAGTTATTTTTTATATAAGATGTAAGGAAGAGGTCCAGTTTCAGCTTTTTGCATATGGCTAGCCAGTTTTCCCAACACCATTTATTAAATAGGGAATTCTTTCCCCATTGCTTGTTTTTGTCAGGTTTATCAGAGATCAGATGGTTGTAGATGTGCAGTGTTATTTCTGAAATTTCACCTGAACATTTAGGTTTTGGCTTTGCTATGAAAATGTGGCAACATGGCTCAGGCAGGTAATTTTGCTTCTGCCTCTGCTTTACGAAAGGAAAAATGGTTTTTCCATTGGAAGGCAAAACTTATCAGAATCTGATCCCTGCAGAAATGCTACCACCTTCCCATCAGCCTAAGTCAGAACACAAATTTCTCCAAACCCTTTGAGTGAAAAAAAAAAAAAAAAAGCCAAATTTCCCAATTCCCTGTTTGCCTGGTAGTGCTAAGGTGCACTATTATTCTGGATAACAGTGAATTTGAGAAGGACCTAAAACACCTCCTTCCTATTTACTCCCTGATCAAAACATCTGACCAAGGCAACAGAACTGCGGCTGTCAGTCCCGTTTCCCCAAAACCAAACAGGGATGCCACACAGTTACTTGGATGCTAATAAAGCTTAATATGGAGCTGCCAGGTTGTATCTTACGCTGGCAGAGAAACTTAACTTCAAAGCTCTCACAAAAGATACATGTGCTTTGGCTGGGCATCGTGGCTCACACCTGTAGTCCCAGCACTTTGGGAGGCCAAGGCAGGAGGATTGCTCGAACCCAGAAGTTCAAGATCAGCCTGGGCAACATAGGGAGACTGTGTCTCTACAAAATAAATAAATAAATAAACAAACAAACAAAAATAAAAATCAAAATTAAAAAAATAGCCAGGCGTGGTGGCACATGTCCGTAGTCTTAGCTACTTAGGAGGCTGAGGCAGGAGGATCACTTGAGCTAGGGAAGTCAAGGCTACAGTGAGCCATTATTGCACCACTGCACTCCAGCTCAGTCAAGAGAGTGAAACCCCATCAAGAAAGAAAGAAAGAGAGAAAGAGGGAAGGAAGGGAGGAAGGAAGGAAGGAAGGAAGGAAGGAAGGAAGGAAGGAAGGAAGGAAGGAAAAAGAAAGAGAGAAAGAGGGAAGGAAGGGGAGGGAGGGAGTGGAGGGAGGGAGGAAGGAAGGAAGGAAGGGTTGAAGAAGGAAGGAAGGAAGGAAGGAAGGAAGGAAGGAAGGAAGGAAGGAAGGAAGGAAGGAAGGCCGGCCTTCGAGCCTTGAGGACTTGAACTCATGCAACAGAGACATTAAGGGACTGAATGGCAGCTCTGACTCTCCACTTACGTGCCTTAACCTCTCTGACTCCTTGGTCTCTTTATCTCTGAAATGGGAATCATAAACACTGGCCTGCCTGTTTCTCAGAGATGCTTAGAGGTTTCAGAATGTTAATATATGTGTCTAAGCACTTTGACAACTAAACCCATTTCATTTCATTGCCCAAAATCCACCACCCAAAGGTCACACGGTTTTGGGGCACAGTCCCCAGGGTTATAACCCATTCCGATCTGACTTAACCTTGTCTTATCAGTAGGGCTTCCAGCCTTTTATAGACAACACTGAGAAATTCTCTATCCAAGCACATCCAGACCTAGCTTGAAAAAGGTCACTGATTCTAGCCCAGAGACATATAGGTGAGCTATCAAAAGACTAGGTTCTGATCCAAGTAGCACGTTGGCAAATGTGCAGGATCATCTAAAGAATTGATGATTACCTTATACCTACATGGTTACAGAGAGTCCAGAAGATATAGAAGCGGACCTGCCTAACACAGTAACAGGCAGAATAACATTGGACACTAAGTGTTCAGATGTGTACTGGAGTAAAGCTGTCATTGTCATCAGGGAATTGGAAGGGTCCTAGCAACCACGCCCTAAATGTAGCCTGTACTGTTGTTGGCGCCTGTGCCCACAGGAGTCCGGGGAAGGAGCGGAGGCAAGAAGTGGTCAGTTCTAGGCCTGGGCCACACCTGCCCATCTGGGGTTGGGGCGCCTAACACTACTTTCCTTTTTGTGGGGTACCCCCATGCCTCATGTCACTGGTCCCCTCTAGCCAAGGTTGTCACCCCTGCTGCACAGAAGAGGGAATGGAGGCTCAGAGCAGTTACCTGCCTCGCCCACATCCGGGCAGAGTCCAAGCTCCTGGACCCAGTTCAGTGTTCAGGCTGTTTGGTGGAACCCAAGCAAGAAGGGATTGGGTAGGAACCATGATGGCGCCTTTAAGCTGAGGGGCATCCAGTAGATGGTTCTTGGGCTGCAGGGCTTGGCTCTCCTCAGCATGACCATTCTGGTTGTGAGGACTAGCTGGACACTTTTGCTTTCTTAAGTACCTTGACCATCCTGGTACGAGGAGCCACAAAACCACCAAAGGATGGATGGGAATAACACTCAGCAGTCCTGCCCGGGACCTGGTGCTCATGCATCGCATGGCTCACTCAGCCCATGAGCCTTCCCTCGTCTGCTGTTTGGGGTCCCTCCCTGGCCAAGGACACTGCAAGTTTCCCCAGACAGGACCTTGAGCCTTCCGGGAATGCCTGTCAGGTAAGATGGAGCCTTTTGCCTGGCCGTCCTCTCTTCACCAGCCATGCTGTGAATAACACTTCCAGGCTTTCAGAAGAGTGAGGGGTTGGAGTCACTGTGCCCACTTTTGCCATAGCCTGTTTGACAAGCTGTCACTGCAGTAAGAACAAGAGGGATTTGTAGGATGTGAGGGCCTCGGTGACGTCTTGGTTGCGGTGTTAATCTACTGTGCATTGCTGTAAAGGAATGCCTGAGACTAGATCATTGATAAAGAGGTTTATTTGACTTATGGTTTCGCAGAC